TTCTAAATAAGGTAGGAGGCTATTTCCTTTGTGTAGTGCGTAGTGCTTTCTTATGTTATTTCATTGTTTGATTTAAAATGCAGTTTATTGAGATTACATACCTTTGCGCGCAATGCTGAGTTTGTGCAATTCTGGGATTTATTTTTAAGTGAAAATAGGTCGATGTGAACATGGATAGCGAGTTTGTGCATTTCTTTGACTTGTTATTTTGGCTTTGTTTAGTGGCGAATTTTAGCACGAAAATCGCTGCTAAACAAAGCTAAAATAACAAATCAAAGAACTGCATAAACTCTGTGTCCATGTACCACCAAAAATCACCAAGGGGGCACCATCAAATATAGTTTTACCCAGAATAGTGGCACATAATTCTAAACAAAAGCAATCAAAATCAATAAAGGTAAAAGTATAGTTTAGGGTACCCCTTGGCGAAATTTGGCAGTACATGGATACCGATTTTGTGCAATTCTTTGACTCGTTGTGTTTGCTTTCGATTTTTGCGCCAAAAATCGCTGCTACACAAAGCCAAAATAACAAGCCAAACTAGTGCACAAACTCCCTATCCATGTACACATCGACTTATTTTCACTTGAAAAAAATCCCTGATTTGCACAAAAATAGCATTGTGCACTCCTTTGACTTTAACCATGTACACGTTCACCTATTTTCACTTTAAAAAAAATCCCAGAATTGCACAAACTTGCACTGCGCACTCCCTTTACTTTGTCCATGTACACATCGATATATTTTCACTTACAAAGTCAAATGAGCATCAAATTCTACAATATAGGCAAACAAAAAATACATAATCTCAATAAAATACATTTTAAACCAAACAATAAAATAACATAAAAAAGAAAAAACATGTTATACATTTAAGCACTACCAAAAGCAAATATTCACTTACCATGATTTTCGAGTTCACTTCATACACCAAGAGCCACATAAAAATCAAAATATCAATCAAATGACTTTTTTTCAAACCCGGTACTTTTTCTGATCGAACGCTTCACATAGTGACCATCTGAACCTTTCTTCCTACAAACCCATTCAAATCCATCTAAACAGTTATGTTCGACTAGACGCATATCCTTCCTACATACAGGACACTTATAATGGCTACTAAGTAAACCTTCATTTACACACCAGTCAATTAAAGCTCTTTTCCCCTTTCGCTCCAAATTGTACAGAAACTTCAAATTAATCTTACTACACTCGGCCATTCTACCCTCTAGAGAATCAAACCAACACACACCACAAAAACGCTTACAACACATCTCATGATTCAAAATTTCTCAATCATGCACCCCATTACGTCACAATAGGGTTTCCATAACATTGAACTACTCAGGCTACCATAAATGAAACAACAACTTGGCGATAAATCAAACAACTTCGCCATACCACAAGGGGTATCTTAAAGTCTGCTCTACCCTCAATAAAATTTTAAAATTGAGAAACACTGGCGACAAAACACTCACCTCTTTTAATAAACTCTTCTTTTTTGCACTGTTACCCTATGTGCTGAGCAATCTGCTTTTGCCTAACACTTAAACACAGACGTGGGGTCTATATGACCATGCCAATATTTTAGAACTACGAAACTGCTTATAAGTTATACAGTTTTTCTTCTTCTTTTCAGTACTTTCAAGTTGGCATAAAATATAAATATTCCTAAATTTTTATTAAACTCTATCCGTTAAGTTTTTTTTTTTTTTTTTTTTAATAATTTTTAAATTTGGGCCATGGTCATATAGACCTCACTTCTGCGTTTACGTTACTTTTTTCTAGCATGAGGGGCAGATGGCTTTATTACTACTTGAGTGTCAAAATTTGTACAAGAACTCAACTATAGAGGTTTGACATAGGTTGGGTACTAATGAAATAATAATAAAAAAAAATTTTAAAAAATTAAAAAAAAAAAAAAAAAAAAAAACAGAGAGAGAAATACCAGGTGAATTTTTTCCAAATAAAATTAAAAGTGGTGGATCTTCTCATTATGCATTCACACATAGAATGACTCTCGTTTTACAGGTGCCTCAAAAATTAAAAAGCGTTATTCTCATTTCTTCAGTGCATCATTCGAAATCAGAAGACCTTGAAACTGAGAAACCAGAAATAATAACATTTTACAACGTGACTGAAGGAAGTGTAGATGCACTGGATGAAAAATGTTCTAAACATTCTACAAGCCGAAGAACAAGGCGATGGCCAATGGCCATATTCTTCAGGTTTACTTGATGTAAGTGGAATTAATGCACTTATCACTCATTAAGAGATAGTGCCAAATTGGCGGAAAAAATTAATTTTTAATGGAGTTATTATCAGAATTAGTGAAACCACATATAGAACAGAGGCTTCAAAAGCCAACTTTGAACCAAGAAATAAAAATGTGCATTCAGAGAGTGCTAGGAGTTTCCAGCGGAATCTATTCTAGCCCATATGTAACTGATACCCCTAAAAAGAACAAAACATAGTTTCTTGTCCCTCCTAGATTGAGAAGAAAAACTACTAACTATGTTTCAGCCTCAAGAATCCAATATGTAATGAATGTGCCAAGAGAATTTGCAAAAATTGTGTTAAAAATGCTTAAAATAATGTGCTGCATTTTTTTAATATTCTTTACATATCATACTTTTTGTATTATTTTATATAATCCAGATTCTGTAGAGGAAAAATTTATTAAATAGTTTAGTTTGTACACATTTGCAAGTAAGTAATGTTTATTTCATTTATTTAATTAATTGTTCCATACTTTTTCATATATAATTTTAAAATTAAATTTTATGCATTAATTTTAGAGTTTTAAAAAAAAATTAATTACTCCACTATAACAAGCAAAGTGTATTGATGCTTATATAATAACAAGAGTATATTATTTTAAAATTTTATATTTTTAAAATGCATAAAATAGAGCACAGTCTGAGAGACCACTTCTCCGTGTTTACGTAACAGAAAATGAATGTCTGTACTTAAGGGTTAAAAAAAAATCAGAGAACTGTACAAATTCGGCATCGTCAGACGTATGGGTTGACGCATAAATACTTTTTGGCAACATATTGCTTTGTCTTGTGAATAGTATTTCAAACATTTTCAGTGGAAGTGCAGATCATTAGAAAGTTTCATTTTTTCATTAAAACTCAGAATGTTAAGTACTAAAAACTCTAGAAATCTGAAACAAAACACTTTAATGCTCTTTAACTATGTCTTATGAACTTCGCAACACTTCATGATTTTTTCAAAGAACACGGCGTTTAGAGTCATACATTTTGCACAAGCCCTCACTCTATTTTCACTTGGCAAGTTGATTCATTCACTAAAGCTTAGCCACATACTGACATGCTAGCACCAACGACTTTTTGTAATTAGTAATTAAATAAGTAAACAGGGATTTTGTAATTAAATAAGTAAAGTATCAGGCATTTTGTAATTAAATAAGTAAACAGGGAAAGTTAAATATGAAAATAACTGACTGTTAGCAGCATATTTTCATATTTAACTTTCCCTGTTTACTTATTTAATTATGAAATGCCTGGTACTTTTTTACTAAGATTAATCACCCTAATTAGTCATTAAAATTGTACAAACTTAATTGCGGAATCTGCAGTACACAAATTTTTAATGTCATCAAATACTTATGCAGTCATCACTTTAAAAAGGAAGGACTGAATGATTTATATGTAATATAAAATTTCCCAATAAACAATAAAAATATTTATCTAAGAGTATCAATATTATAAAATATCATTGTGCAGATACAGAAAAATTAAGGCATTTTTAACTATGGAATTAATATATATAATTGTTAAGGAAGAATTTTTCTCTCATGCACACACAAAATGAATATGACATTATTAATACCTCATTAAGTCTTTTTTGAGATTATGCATTCAATGTACCATTAAAAACTATTCCATATCTAGAATCTGCTTTAAAAATACAACATTTAATCCTCATATAAAGCATCATTTGATTGGAAAAAATAATTAATATGAACTGTTTTATTTTATTCAATACTCAAACAGTAGCACATAATGAAATGCAATAAATAAAAATTAAAATTACCATATATACAATATACAGAAAGGGAAATACAATGCGTGTATTCCGATTATAATTTAACTAAAACAGAAATCTTTCAGAATATTCATTTTTTATGAATGACTTATTTACACACAATTTTTGGAATTTCTTTTTGTTTTTGTAAAATTATCTCTCAACCAAAATACAACTTTAGTTTAATCTTAATATTACATTTTTCAGACAAATCCTTCAATTAAATCCATACAAATCTTTAGTTAAAGACTACTAAAACATGGAAATCATGAGGGGCATGAGGCGAAAAAATGTTGTAAATTAAAAAATAAAAAATTCGTATTCCCTCATTTGTTTACAAAATTAATTTTTAATCTCAAGTTTTAACTTTTTATAACGAACAGTAAATCCATAGCTGCGATAATAAAACATTATGTATTTAGCATGGAGATCAATTATTCCAAATTACACATTTAACATATTGATACTTATGCAAATCAACTTTTTAAAACAAATTATCCATTAATTGCTTTACATTAATCCTCTTTCATAAGGCTTTTTGTTAATTATACTGATATATATTTCTCTTTTTAATATTATTTAAAGAGTTAAGTTTTGGAATGGAAAAGATGTTGAGAAAAAGGGATAAACGAGATCAAAAGCATCTATTACAAAAACAAGAGGAATTTTTCCCCTCATTCTCATTTTTTGCTCTGGATGAAAATATAGCATTAATATGCATAACATTTCAAAATCTGAATTCTAATTATTACTCCAAACTTATCGCTCAGTTGATTTGATAACACACCGGTGATACTTGCGGTAACTATTTCCGCATTTAAGAAAACACTCACTTCGCTAATATTTACGACCGCGAAACGAGAATCAAAAAATAGCCCGTTTTGTACGCATAAATCGTATTTTTCATATCAGATTCTCAGAGTATGAAGTTTAAAGAGTTATGTTACCTCTTCAACAGTTGGGTGGCGAACCCTTTCATCTTGTTTATTTCGTGAAAGGTTTTGTTTTATCCTTGATATTGTAGGTATGGATGCGGCGGCCATTTTAATTTCACTTGTCAGTTGTATCAGGAAGGTCCCGTTTCCTGATTGGTTCTTTTGAGATTTACCCTTCATTATTGACCATAAGCGCTAACGGAAAGGACAGATGTTCATAAAAACGATGAAAAACGCAACTGTCTTTAACATACGGAGCAAATACTGCGCCACTTCTATTTGTTTACGAAATAATAGCTTAATTAATCCTGTAAACAACATCACGTTAAACCATAACCAGCAGTATTTAATTGAAATACCTGCACTGTAATTATAAAGGAAATAAATTATTTACCGAGATTTCAGAAGTTAACACATCGTTTAGAATTCATTTAATTTATACTCTTAAGGAATACCTCTTTCTTTATTATATATATTTTAAAAGAATTTCAAGAAAGACAACAGAATCTTTCAATGTTGATATTTAATTATTCTCCATTTGTTACGAATTTCAAAAACACAATGATTTCGATTATTATTTGTCCAAAACTATTATACCAGTAGCTGTCTCTCTCTTTCTATATATACATTTGTAATATTTTGGCAGGTAGGCACAGGAATGACAAAGCTTGACAATATGACTACATCAGAGTGCGGACATTGTGGCTGAGTAGAAGGCTGCAAAATGACGACAAAGAAGGATTTAGCTTTTTAAATTCCAGATCTTTATTCAATTCTCACAGCAGATCATTTTGCCTTTAGATGAGATTTTCCAAATTACATATTCAATAGTGATTTAACTAAGTAAGATTAAATTTAGACTTTCTACGTCATAACTGTTCTAACAAAGGGAATAAAGATGTGATGAGCAGCAGCAAGGATTTGTAGCATCAGTAGAAGAAAGCAGTCTGTTCCAAGTTCCGCTGGGTACGCAGCTGATTAACTTTCAGAGATTGCAAGTTTTGTTCTGGCTGTCTGAGTTAGTTGCTATCGCGTGTACTGTATGTTTATACTAGCGGTTATATAATATGCCAAAATGTTCTCGAAAGTACTGGTCTAGGGGGAAGATCCTGAAACTGCGGAAAGTAAATTGTGGGTTGCTGTTGTTATATTTAATTCATGAGGGTACACTTTTAGCTTTTAGAAACTATTTATTTACAATCTTAGAATGTATAATCACAGAGAACTGCAATACCAGCATAGTTCTATTTTGTATCTGTATCCAAGGTGTTGCCAATTACAATTACTAAATATTAAATGTTACCATTTACAAATTATTAAATATTACAGCTGTTCGCACAGAGCAAAGCCATCGTATTTTTATATTATATATATATATATATATATATTAAGGGATAAGGTTCGGAGAACAGCCTTGGTTGCGCCAACTTGGCTCCTTTAAGGATATGGGCGACATTTCATTATGCCAACGGAACTAAATATCATGTGGGGAATAGGTGCTAAGGAGAAAAGGAAAATACATGGGGGAAAACAGGATTAAGATGTGTTTATATTTGTTTGGTATCTCTGATTGCTAATTTGGTTCTGTTATGTTGCTAAATTAGCATTAAAAGTCGAGTAATGTGCGTTTATTGCGAAAACGCAGGACAATTACTTTTCAATCCGATTTTATATATGTATTAATATATCACATTTCTGCTCATATGATCTACATATGTATCAGATAACTAGCTACTTTTGACACTTATTTCTGGATTTGTACTATTTTACATTTTTTTCTGCTTTGAAAACCCAAGTATTGAAGCATTATGTGTATGCTTGTGAAAATATTATTTCAGATATTCTCGTATAACTAACTATACTATAATCTCATATTATTCAGTTCTCATGTAACTACGATAGAAATATGCTTCTATTATTTACTTTAAAAATGCAGTATTTGGTAGCCATTCTAGAATTAGTTCTGTAATGTTATATAATGTTAATTGTCTTATGCATTATTTTTTCTAAATATTCATTTCCATAAAGAATATATAGTCAGTGTAGAGAATGCGAGTTCAATATATTTTAAAGACAGAAATAATAAACAAAAAATAAAAGGGAGACTACACATGCAAGAGATAAAAGGGACCATATTCTAAAGAAAGTTAATAAACTCAAAATGATGTGAAAGTATAGCCCATGCCACAAAATTCACTTAAGTATTATTTCTGAGTGGTAAAGCAGAACATATATATATCTGAGTGCATTTGTATATCTAAAATAAAATCTGTTATTAGTTGCTGATGAAAAAGTAAGAAAACAATTTTTATGAATAGAAATTTATGTATTGGGAAGTACTTCGCATTTTGATCTCTCAGGAAGAACACCAATAGAAATCTTAATTTGTGGTCCCCTATTGATTCCGTAGTTTTCTCATCAGTTTACAGCAATTTTTGTTTTGTTTTAAGGTTAGGCATAAAATTTTCATCAACAAGGATAAATGTGTTATTTACTTTGGCTTCTTCTTCGAGTAGTGCAAACATCTGAGTACTTGGTCTGTGGCGACCTACCTTCATCAAGTAAGTTACTTTCGAATTTACTGCGAACTAACAGAGATGATTCTAAATGCTGAGGAACAGTCACTAAAATGGCAAAAATTCTAAACATAAAAAGAGCGCGATCACATAGCACTTCTCATAGAAACGAAACATATAAGACAAGCTGTCGAACTGGTGAGCATTTAAACAAAAATAAAGTTAAGCATGTAAAGGCAATGTAAGTCTTAAGGAGATTATAACAAATTTTAAAATAATGCAAACTCATAAACGGACTCAAAATACAAAACATGAAATCTAGGTACTAAATACGCCCTACTTACTAAATTACCGCATACGTGCGAACATATCAATGTATCAATGTAGTGAGTATACTAAAAAATAATTACCAAATGATTGTGGTATAATATTTCTTATTATTGGCAGCACTAAAATTATATTACAAACGATGCATATTATTTAATGCTTATGGTTTTACAGTGCTATGCTGTCTAGGAATGAAAATATAAAGTGCCGATGCATTACGTAGGCTGCCAAAATATCAATTACACTCTGAATTTTGAAATACCACCAGACCTCGAAGTTGAAATAATAAGTTATTTTTGAAACAGCTTGAAAATCCTCTCGGACAGCGGTCTCAAACTGGCTGCACGCAAGCCAAAATATTGCGAAGTAGTTTTACCATGGAGCAGTTTTACATGGCCTGGGAATGCACTTCAATTATGCATTTGTAGCGAATATGGTGTTTATAGTTTTAGCAACACAAATATATAGACTAGGCTTATCTGCACAACCGCTATTAAAGGATAAATAGATAGAAAAGATAGGTCGAGGCTTTGACTCTTGTATGCCTGCATGCTAGGCTAAAGGACTGGGTTAAGGTGGGAGACTTTACACGTCGGTATAATATAATCAGTAAATTTAGTTCATTAGCCAATAGTTTAGAGCGCTTGAATATTCTGATGGTGTTTTTTTTTTTTTTTTTTTTTTTTTTTTTTTTTTTATATAAGTCCAAAGGGATTCCAGTCCCTAAGGACTATTGCTTTCGTTTTGGCATTTTGCGTCGGACTCATAAAAGTCGGTTCACTTTTCAAACTGTTGCCCAAAATGTTAGAGTCCTGCATATATTTGAAGAAATTAAATAATGAAAAATCTGCATAAATGATTGTCTATTTCTCGCATTGTGATAAAAACAATGGTACATAGAGCCATCGAAATTTTGAATGACGAAATCCTACTGCGAATATGGGCATCTGGAATCCCAAATTTGGAATTTGTTTTATTATCGATTTTATATTTTGTAAAACTTTAACAAATTTTTGATTTAACAAACTCCAATGATTTCAAAGCGAGAAACGGCAACGTTATATATATAAAAAAAAAAAAATACTTTTATCTCCAGCTCGCGAGACTGTATATCGGAAATTCTAAAGATATGCCTTAATTTAACATTATTTTGCGATATTGCTGACTGAACTGAATTTTATGGTTTAAGTGCGAAGAACATGATATTTAATAAATAAAGGTAACACTCAAAAACGTTAAAAAAACGCCCCTTTGGACGTAATTTAAAATCTGAAAAATTTCAGTTTTTTTTTTTTTTTTTTTTTTTTTTTTTTTTTTTTCCTGTTTAACAAGTACTCCTGATATATACTTTGAGTCTGTTACTGGTTGTTTAGCTGGATCCCAAGTCATTGTATAGCTGCTCAGTTCATACTGCTAAAGAGATTGAGAAAAACTAACGTATAACATACCAAACCTGTTTACTGTGCTCTGTTTTAGATCTGCATTATATCAATACCTAACGTATGGAAATATGTATTGACTTTGTTGTTTCTTACACGATACAGCATACAAATAATGCTCAAAGTCAATGCATGCTTCCAATATATATATACATATTTCTCATTTTAACATATCACTACTTTTGGTTCCATGTATTTCTTTAGCCATACCTATACAGATGACGAAACACGAATTCGGTAATTGAAGAGTTAGGCTTTGGGCCAAATTTCCCTTGAAAGGACCTGTCTCTTGCCTGCTCAACAATTATTCACTTTATGAATATTAAAATCTATTTTTGAAATTTTAAAGTTTTTAAAATAAATTTTTTGGGATTTTATTATGTTTTTCTAGTATGTACATGCTTGCACATTATTAAATTTTTCTGGGATGCGTCATTTCTAGATTTAATCTATATCATATTGTAGAGTCATTAGGTTAATTGGAAGCAGAAAAGATGAAAAATATGCAACCGCCTTCGCCGGGAATCCAACCACGGACCTCTGGAATACCGGCCCAGCGTGCTACCGTTACACCACGAAGGCAAGCTAGGAAAGTGGAAGAAAATACCTTATAATATGACTTTTATATAATGCTCTGACGAAAACAACTTATATCAGAATCGACTTCAATCAACAATAATTTTAGAACTTCGCCAATTATCCAATCAAATGGTATTGAAACCGACTCTAATCCATTCTAAATTAAAATTTCATCCTGAACACAACACATTTCGCTCTTGTTTCTTGGCCTAACTAGATTGCTGCTGGCTGTTGCTCTTCTTATCTCAAAAATATGAATGTTATATCCTAGGCTTC